AAAAAAATTGAGGCGGGTGAACAGTGTTTTCGGCTACTGGAATTTGCATTTTCTGCCGGACAGGTTTTACGAAAATGCTCATAACTCCTTCATCCTAACTCGGAATGAGGTGAAACAAATTGCGTTGGAAAGCTAACTCACAGAGCTTTAATTTTGATAGTTTGAGCTCCTTCCAGTTCCTTGTGTGCTGAGAGATATGCCCCTTTAAAGTTGACCCTCAAAATCGCATTTTTTTGCGATTTTCAAATTTTGATACGGTTGTTCTAAAATTCGGGTTAGACTCATTTCCCACTCAATTTGACCCCCTGAATAAGAATATGAAGTCGAATTTCTGAAATCATGCACGGATTTTGAGATATATGGAAATTACAATTATAGGTGTTTCCGAAGCACATTTTCGGACATTTTTGGGGTCGTTTCAATTTCTAATTTGTTCGGAACCTTGTGAACGCAAAAGAGATGTTCTACCCTACCAAATTCAATAATCCAGACTCAATGGAGCAATCGAAATTTTGTAAGAGGTCATCTCGGCAAAAAATAGGTCTCACCCCCCAAACTCCATTTTAAACTAAAATCCACAAAGGTGCTCGAAATTAGCGTGGAAGCCTCGAGTTCCAAACAAAGGAACATTCCGAAACAAACTCATTATTTCGGAGCTAACCGCGTGATGGAATTCTTATCCGAGGTCGTTTACTCAGAATGTTGACTAAAGTCAAACTTAGGCCTTAACTTGAAAGTTAAAACATCTAATCGCACATACTCGCATTGAAAACCCCAGGAGTCCTGTTGATCATGCTACTAGTCTAAAATGACCCTTCCGGAGATGATGGAATAGTCAAAATTGGATTTTGAGGTCATCTTCTTGAACTTTTGATTATAAAAATGTCCGTTCAAGGTTCAAAAGCTCCAAAACGCTAAAACTTGCATAAAAAATAAATGACTTGGGGTTGCTAAAGAAACGCTCTAACTACGAACTGAGGCATAAACACATAAATCATCTAAAGGTCATTACAAAAAAAGATAGAGTAATTGATAAAATAAAATTATAAATAATAATTAAAGATAAAATAAGGTATCGATAACACCAAATCGATTGTTACACAATATAAATCTTTATATTGTTATCTTACGATAAAATTAACAATACAATACAGTCAAATTAAAATAATAATAATCAAAACAAACGTTATATTTACCTAACGATATTAACAACCATCAAACAAGTAGAATGGATGTTTTCCGAATAAGTGATCGCTAAACAAAAAAAAAGATCTCACTAGAGTCAGAGGTAGAGTTAGGTGGGGGTTCATGGATTCGGACGAACCCACTAGCTTTTTCGTAGACTCTAAATTTGTATTAGAAAATTAAATAAATATATGTATATTAACATGTGAACCCCCAAAAAAATTGATTTAGAACCCCCAAACTCCTAACTTTGGCTCCACCTCTCATTGGAGTCGAGGAACGAAATAGAAAAGTTTTGACGCTTTAATCATCTTTGATAATTTCGTTCTTTATATTTGGGTTGGATGGCAATGAAAATTCTAAAAAATTTATTAGATTTAATTCATTTTGAAAGAACACAGGCAAAAGTCAGATTTTAATTTTATGGGTTTTAAATTTATAACAATATATGATTTCAAAGGTTGATAACAAGATTCTAAACTTAATATTTGTACATATAAATACATTATTTAAGCAAAATTATTGAATTATTGGATTCGGCCGAACCTGTATCCAAGCTTATAGCTCCGCTCCGGCAAAACTAGTACTAGTATATAATATATTATGAGGTGGGAGATGTATTTTGAATATTAAGTTTTACTTTAATGAATGTAGCGGTTGTTGCTAACCTCACTCCATTATTCTTACACGTTTTGGTTCTTTCACCATATGTCCAAATCACATAATACAAGTACAAATTTTGGTTGATAATGTCTCCAAGTTAAGGAAAGATGGATATGAGATACTATAAGAGTAAATGAAATCCATTTTCACAAGTGAAAGTGACATAAGTACGTACATTAAGGAAATTTCCATAACATGTCATGTTGAATAACCATACCAAAGATGACATTTTCTTGTAAGTTGCAACTTCTATTTTTATAAACCTCCACACAAAAAGCATGGATGTCTTGTCACTACAATTTTGAGAGTGCTATACAAGCCATGCTACTATCATTTTGTGAGTTTCTTAAGGATCTTTTTTTATTACTATCCTATAATAATGTGTTTTGGCGTGTCTAAGCACCAAATTTAGCACATGTAACATTTACCTAGACATACCAAATATACTATATACGAAGTAGGGGAAATAATTCAATATTCTATAGTACAAAGAAATAAATCAATTACAAGGACATTGATTTATTCCCTTATGAGCTTGCTCACTCTTCCCCTCAAGTTGGCAAATAGATATTTGTGATGCCTAACTTGTCAATTTTACCGCGAAATACCTTTTTAGAAACAACTTTTGTGAGTATATAGGTCAACTCATCTTTAGACTTTGAATAAAGGACAATGTAAATTAATTTTTTCATGTAATTTTTCTTAATGAAATGATGATCAACCTCATATGTTAAGTATGATAATATTGCATAGGATTTGTACCATCTCAATAACTATATTATTATCAAGTGAAAATTATTTACACCTCTCAAATTTTCTGTAAAAATCAAACTTCTTCCTCAATATGAGAAATAGCCATTATCCCCCTTACATTATCAATCCTTACCTTCTTTTTTTATACTTCTATAAAATCATAATATATTTATTTTTTAATCTATATATCAAATTTCCTAAAAAAAATTATTAATTCCGTCCAAAAAAAAAGAAAAGTAAAAAATACTGATCGAGTATAAGCTAATGTTGTTCTATAATGAAACAAATAAAAAATAAAAAATAATATATTTTAAAGTTAATTTTAACGGAATCTAAAATGTGATAACCTTTAAAACATATTTCGATGCAAGTAATATACAAATAAATAATAAAATAAAGATATATTTCATAACAATTTTTTAAAAGATTATCTATATTTATATTTTAAATTATAATTTAGAAAATATTCTTACTTATGACAATCAATATTCTTTTATCTACATAGTTTATAGAGAATAAGAGATAATCATAATACCTAAATGTGTCATTTAACTTGACTTCAACGGGTATATAGGCCCTCAAACTTTTAGTATGCACAAGTAGACACTTAAAATGGTATACAGTTGAACAAGTAGAAACACACATCTTACATGACAATTCTCATGAGATACTCTCGAACTGATTTGTACTATGTCATGTATGACACATATCATTCCATGTGTGGGACATGTGTGTCTATTTGTTCAACATTATACAACTTTAATTGTTTACTTGTGCACATCCGAAGTTGGAGGGCATAGATGTCAATTTTGACCAAGTGAAAGTGCACGTTTACGTATTATGCCTAAAAGAAGTAAAACTTAGATATGCATGCACATAATATATACACATATACTTAGTGGATGTAATATTAAAATAACAATCATAAAAAAATAACATTAGATTTTACAACAAACTTTTTTTTTGGGGTAATATAGACTAATGATATACCAAAGTAGGGAATCATGTACGTGTATCTGGTTTGTTGGACATAGTCCCAACATACCACCAGTTAAGCAACTACACATGAGCTATAGTACTTCAAGGATAGTAATTAATTGGTTCCGCAATTCGACTAGCTAACTTGGCCTTTAAACTACCTCGCATCACCACCATCTGAATAATTTTCCTTCAGAGAATCGAATGGTTTATCTTCTTGGTCCAAAAGACTCGACTGTTCCTTTCCATTCATGTTTTATACACTACACCAGCTACAATAATCCTAAATAGTTCAGCATGTGCATCCTTTCTATTAATTTTCCTTGAGAGCATCCAACGCATGCACTAACTTTGTCAATTCCATTGTGTTCCTATTATGTACTTGCCCGCGCATGAGCATGTTCCAAACAACAACGGAAAAGGAATATTTTAAAGAACAAGTGATCAGTTGATTCCTGTTGTGCTTCACTCGAAGGGAAGATATTCTGATCCATCAACTTCCACTTCAACAATCGATCTCTAGTGTATAGCCTGTTGAGAATTGCTAGATAGAGTTTCAAAATTTGCTGATGATAGATTATTCTACTTATAATGCTAATGAACTTAAATAAACATCTATAAATGCATAGGTTAAGAAAATAAAGTATTATGTATAGTATAAGAAGATGTTATATAAATGAAGAATAAAAAATGACAAGGGTAAAATAGATTTTGCATAGGATAAAGAGGGAGTGATTATTTTCAAATTTGAGAAGGGAAGGGGAGAAGGGGGAAGTTTGATTTTTAAATCAAAATTAAAGAGTGCAAATGATTTCCAACCTATTATTATCTTAATAAAGAACTATTTCTTTTTGCATGATTAATCCCTAAATAATTCAAAAAAAAAGCATAATCCACAACAATTCACATACACCATGAGCCATACCTCGAAACTCAATTTTTGCACTTGATCTTGTCACAAACTTTTGTTAATTTCTTGCTTGTCCAAGTAGCAAGATTCCCCTCCACAAAAATAAAATAACTAGATGTATAGATTTTCTAATTAATCTCTTGATCACCTAGACAATAAGAATAAGGGTATGTTTCAATAAAAGTATTATTATGTTTTGACTTTTGAGAATAATAATCATCTACCTTGAGTCCTTCTCAGTACCTCAAGATTTTGTATAGTGCATTTGTGTTCTTCACTTGATGTATGCAAGACTTAACTCACAATATTCACAAGTTATATCCAACTTTTGCTGGTGATCAAACATTTGATTCATTTCTATAAGCACGTCTAGCCTTCTACTAGTTTGCATGCTAACATCCCAAACATATATAAGTGTTTGCAACAAATTTTAAAGTGATAGAAAAGATATTACAATCACAAATAAAATATGAAAAAACGTGTTTTATTCATGAATCAATATGGATACAATTTTGTTCCTCCCTTGATTCTTCTCTCATAAGATTTATCCCTTGATTCTTCTCTCATAAGATTTATCCCTTGATTCTTCTCTCATAAGATTTATCCATGATTCGAGGGTGTTAGTGGCGTATTTCTCGAACCAAGATGATTTGGATTTGATCTCTTTATGAATATTCCATGAATTTGTGGAATATTTGAAATTTCTTTTAAGGGATAGTACCATTTATATAGGCTGGAACTAAGGTTCAGGGTTGACTAGCCTCCAACAATCCTAATTGAAATTGAACACATCTTGTAGAGTCCAACTCAAATTGAACCTATCTAGTACAGTCTCACAAAATTTCAATGTCTACAATTAAATCTAGAACATATTTCATTATGAAAGAAAAATTCCTAGCGATCCATAATGTAAATGAATAATTTCTAGTGGAACTCGAGAGAAGAAATATGTATATATATATAAAAAAAATATGAGAAAAGACATAAAGTCACCATTGAAGTTGTCCCGAATTTTTAAAAAGATACTTTAACTTTGCAACCGCGCTATTACCCCACTAAACAATTTTGAACATATATTATTATATCATTTTTCGATCAACCCCAGATTTTAAGAAGCAAGTGTGTTCACACCCCAATCATTACATGACACGTGTTAATTTAATTTAAAATGTAAAAAAAAATCATTTTAAGTTTTTTTCTTTATTTCTCTCTGTCTCTTACTTTTTGACTTAAATTAATTTTGGTTTTTATTAAAAAAAAAAAGAATTCATACTATTTTCTAGACTTTATTGAATTATTGATAACAAAACTAATTATTTTTCTATGAAAATTTAAAATTTTGAAGCTTTCATCAATTACTCCTTTTCATATAACTTCAAAATTAGAAATGATAATTTTAAATGAATCAATGAATTCCCCAAAAATTGAAAGAAGTTAATTGAAATCGGATAAAAAAAAAACTATATGATACTTCCTAATCATCTTGAAATCTAATGGGTTTATCAAATTGTTCGAAATGTAAGAAAATGTTTAGATAAAGTTTTAAAATTAAAGAGAGTAAAACTAAATAGTAGTAAAAATGGAAGATGAAGTTGTGGTAAAAATGGTGACATTGAAAGTGATAAGCTTCAATGGAGATGACAATGAATTTTTGAAGATGAAAGAAGAAAGAAAGAGAAAAAATAAAAAGGAAAAAAAGTTAAAATAGTAAGAAATAAGAAAAAAATACTTTATAATAAAATACTTGTAAAAATAAAAGTATATTAGTTATTTTAGGTTGCTCGCTCTTTTTTTGAGAGAGTGCACACACTATCTATGTCATGTGGACAAAAAATGATGTAATAATATCCGTTCAAGATTGTTTAGTGGGATAATAGAACGTCCGCATAGTTAAGGTATCTTTTTGAAAATTCGAGACAAGTTCAGGTGTCACTTTATGTCTTTTCTCATATAAATATATTATATTAAGAGGAGCTGGGTTAAGAGGGTAAAATAGACATTTAAAAAGTCAAGAAGTGAAGAGGAGAATGTTAAGAAAAATCTTTAATTCTAAAATAAAAAATTGGAGATGTAAATTGTTTTACCCTTACGCCATAGATATATGAACTAATACTAACATGGATAATATAAGAATCACCATTGATATTAAACTACTACTCTTTCAGTCTATTTATTTGATACTCTTTTCTTTTTTATTCTGTATTTAAAAATGATGTTTTTTTTATTTAAAAATAATTTTAAGTTAAATTTTTATATTTTATTCTTAATGCGATAATTTATAATTATAAAGTTATTTCTGAAATCAAAAGTCTTTTTTATTATTATACAAATTACATATCTAGTCAATCCCCGACATATAATTTAAATCGGAAGAGCATTATTTTCATAATATTAATAACAAGACTCTAAACAATATTAGAGGCGGAGCTAAAAGATTACAGACTGATTTTGGCCAAAACCAATAGCTTTATAGTCTCATTTTTGTATTTTATTAGCTTACTAAGTCTGTAGAAAAAACTTAATTCAAAACTCAGTTACTAACATCTAATATTGATTATCCTAATATTTAGAACTCATAAAATTTAAATCTACACTCGGCCCTAAACATGATTAGCAAATGTTCTTGCTAACCATATATACAAAGTAAATTTTAGAACAAGCAAGATTGAACTCTTAACTAAATAAATAAGTAATTTTATGAGGATAATATGTATTCAAATAAGTAAGCTCACATGTCACGATTGTTTTAATTGCACACGAATAATAGAGATGTGTTTAAAAGAAAACATGTGTTTTAGGTTCCTCTACTTCTTTTCCTTTGAAGAAAGAACAAAATTATTTTACTCTAAATTAGTGTGAGTCTCTAGCAAGTTTTAGCTTAATATGATAAGAAAGAACTGCATTTTGGATGCTTATTACAATGTGCTTTGAATTTGGTTTTGGTTAATCATCAAAAATATATATTTTTGAAAGAGTATTTGAAAAGGTAATCTTGGTGTTTTGAATGGATTATAAAACTATTCTATATATGAAGATAATTTTCCTAAAAAGTCACCCCTTTCGTCTCACTTTATTTGACATTATTTCATTTTAAATTTGTTAAAAAAATTATATCTATTTAATTAATGAAAAACTTTTATATTCTTATAAATATGAAAAGACGATTTTTCTTGAACCGAGGATCAATTGAAAATAGTCTTTCTATCTCTGAAATAGACATAAGATAAAGTTTATCCTTCCCAATCCTACTTGTGAAATTATATATACTAGTTATATTGTTATATTAAATATTATGACATATTTGAAACGATAAGTTATAAAATATTTATAACCACATATGTAATGACAGGTATAGAATTAAAATTTTAAAAGTTTTTTCTTTCTAAAATTTCATCTGGACCAAATTAGGCCAAGTAAATTACTCCCTCCGTTCTAATTTTACTTGTCAAATATTTTTTAATTTGATTTCTACTTTTATTTGTCATTTTTGAAAAATTAAGGAAGAATAATTTTTTTCCTATTGAAAAGTGTAGTGAGTAAATATATTTGAAACCCTATCAATTAATAAGGATAAAATGGCAAACTCGCTATACCAATCATTTTTTTCTTAATAGTTGTGTCAAGGCAAAATTTGACAAGTAAAATCGAGACGAAGAGAGTAAAATAGATAGATTAAGTACAGTCCTAACTTAGGAACTTGATCAAATAATTATTCAAATCCTAACACATTATCATTCCATACTGTATATATACTAAAATAAAGGCATATTGCGTGTATATATAACCCTCTAAAATTCCCTCATTTTATCTCATTCCACCAACTTTCCTCTTCACTACTCTCTCTCCAAAACAACAACACTTTAGTGTTGTGTTAATAATTAAAAATAAATAAAAATGGGGTCATTGATAGGTCATGTTATACCAGGGTTTGGTTTTTTTCTTATTGGTATTTGGCATTTGCTCAACCAGATAAAATTACATGCTTTCCACCCAAAATCCTACACTTCCTTACCATGGTTCCCAGCTCCAAAAATCAGGTATTTAAAGCTTTGTTTGATTAATCACAAGATTTTCAAAGATTTAAATTTGATGGGTTCAGCTTTCAAGATTTTTAGCAATTAACTTGTATATTGTACTTTTAATTAGAGATTTTCTTGATTATTTAGAGCAGTTTCAAGATTTAAATTTAATAAGTTCGACTTTTAAAATTCTTTGGCTTTTAACTCATTGGTACTTTCGATATATTAAAGATTTTCTTGATTATTCAGAGCAATTTAAAGATTTAAATTTAATGAGTTCGAGCTTTAAAATTCTTAGGCTTCAAGGTACCATTGTACTTTTGATTAGAGATTTTCTTGATTATATAAAGTAGTTTCAAGATTTAAATATAATAAGTTCGAGCTTTAACTCATGATTGTACTTTTGATAAGAGAATCTCTTGATTATTTTGAGCAGTTTCAAGATTTAAATTTAACGAGCTTAACCTCTAAAATTCTTAGTCTCTAAATCATTGTATTTTTTATTAGAGATTTTCTTGATTATTCAGAACAATTTCAAGATTTAAATTTAACGAGTTCGATCTTTAAAATTCCTAGGCTTTGACTCATTGTACTTTTGATAAGAGGTTTTCTCGAATATTCAGAATAGTTTCAAGATTTAAATTTAACGTGTTCAACTTTTAATATTCTTAGTCTTTAACTCACTATACTTTTGGAATCAGGTACGCAGAGCTTTTTGTGATTATGTTTGGCACCTTACTCTCCATATCAATGGAACTCTTCATTGGTCCATCAAAACATCAACCTTTCGACTCTGATGGAACCATACCTTCATATCATCTCCATAACTTTGAACATGCAAATATCTCCCTTACTTTCTTTGTCTATGCATCCTTTTCGATCTTATTCGACAAAATCATCCCTTCAACCCTAACTCAAAATGGACTTACATTATTTCTTGGAGCTGTTGCTTTTGGTCAAGAACTCCTTCTTTTCCATCTTCATTCTACTGACCATATGGGTGTTGAAGGACAGTACCATTGGCTTCTCCAAGTTATCATCTTTTCGACTTTCGTCACTACTCTTTTGGGAATTCCTTTCCCTAAAAGTTTCTTGAATAGTTTTGTGAGATCTTATAGCATTATGTTTCAAGGAATTTGGATGATGGTCATAGGTATCATGCTTTGGACTCCAGAGTTCATCGCAAAAGGTTGCTTTATCAACTTTGAAGAAGGGCATAAAGTGGTTAGATGTCATAACAAGGAAGCACTTGAAAGAGCAAAGTCATTAGTAAATATCCAATTTAGTTGGTATTTGGTTGGGATTACTGTTTTTACACTCTCACTTTATTTGGTTCTTGTCAA